CGCGGCTCCGGCCACGCCACGCACCCACGCGGGACTGGCCGTGCCCCTTGCCCCTAAGGTGTGTGTGAGGGGACGCTTTGGGGTGACTCCCAGCGTCCACCAGCGGTACCTGGAGCTGTCGGGTGGGTGCCGGAGGGGATTCCAGCGCCTGCTGGGTGATGATGGATCTATCCCTAAGGAGACCCTTTCCTGGCTCGATGTCTGGGGGCAAAGCCCACCCAGGCAGGGCTGTGGGACCCCTCCAGATCTGCCCATCCCTTCCAGCTTCAAGAAATACATAAGAGCCCCCCTGTCCAGCTCCCCTCCTTCTCAGGATCCCTGTAATTCACTGGAGAGGTTGCTGCCACACTCACTCTCCTGCTGCCTGCCAGCACCCCTGGTTGTGGGGGTCTGGGGATCACTGCCCTCCCCAGCCCCTGCCTACAGGTCCATGGGGGCTGCCTGCTCCCAGTCTCTCCTGCCCTATAAACGCACTCCCGAGGCCCCTTAGACTTTGTCCCATGAGGAATGTGGCGGTTGCAGACATGTCCTGTCCCAGAGCTGGGCCGAAAAGCCAAAATACTGGAGTTTTGCATTGAACGTGCCCTCAAAATCTCATCCCAAGTTTTTCCTTTGGCTCTGTCTCGTGTTGCTGCTTCCAGGCTGGGGCTGGTTTAAGTGCCACCCTCCCAAAGGGGATCCCAGCTCTGAGGAAGGCTGACGTGCTCCTCATTGGCAGAGAGTTATGTCTCAGTTCTGGGGCACCTTGGGCTCGTGCTGGGGTCAGGGCTGCTCTGGTGATCCCAGGTACTCGGTCTGCAGAGGATGGCACATCCCCTGCCTTGTGCCCAAGTGGGTTTCATTTCCATTTTCCTGATGTTCCTGCAGTTTTGGTGGCAGATTCCTTGTTTTAGGGACTGCACTTGGTGCTGGGCTGGAGGACAGGTGAGAGACATGCTTTTCCCTAGGGAGCTCCCCTTTCACCCCTCCCTGTGTCAGAACCCCCTCTCCCTTTCCCTTTCTGTCCCCTCCCTTGGGGACAGGGCTGGGTGGCTGCAGCTGTGCCCCTGGCCTTGCTGGGGCTGTGGGTGAGTGTGCACAAAGTGGGGCTACCCAGGGCACCCAGTCCTTGCTTCAAACTGGGGTGGGAAGAGCTGCTGGCCCCCCTCACCCCTCCTTGCTTGTCTCCACAGCCCAGCCCAGAAACTTGTGTTCAACAGAGTGAATGGCAAGAGGCCACAGGTGCTGCTGCATCAGGTCTCAGCTCCTGAGGAGTGCTACACCCTGGCCCATGAGGAGAACGTCCGCTTCATCTATGAAGGTGAGGGCAGAGGGTCCCTGGGCAGCACCTGGGGGGGCTGGAGCGTGTGGGGTCCCTTCTGAGGCAGCTGCATTGTGCTGGGAACATCGATGGTGCAGGGATGGAGTTGCCAGCCTGGGGTCCTGCCCTCTCCTGTTTCCCTCCTGCAGCCCCCCAGGCTGGGAAACCCCCATCCCAACCCCCCCCTTTCCTGTTCCCCCAGCCTGGCAGCAGGTAGAGCAGCAGCTGGACGGCAGCCGGAGCGGGGACAGCGCCTGCGGCCCTGTGCAGTACGTGGAGAAAACCCCCAACCCCGGGCTCAAAAGTGAGTGGGAACCGGTTGGGACACTTGGGAGGATGCTGGGCTCAGGGGTGCAACAAGCTGGTGTGGGCTCAGCCTGCACCTGAGCAGGGCTGTGGTGGGAGGAGGAGGAGGGGGATGCTTGGAGAGCTGGTTGGGTCTGTCCTGCTGGTGCTGAGGCCACTCTGGGGGTCCTGGGCAGGGGCAGCTGGCCTTGGCACTGTGGTGGGGATGTCCCACTGTGCCCCTTGGAGGAACATCAAGCAGGACTCCTGGTTGATGACTCCTCTGGGATTCAGGCCTTCTCCAGCCACCAAGGTGGGCTCAGCACCGTGCTGGAGAGGAGCTCCCCGGTCCTTGTGGGGACTTGCTTCTCCTGGGGCCAGCAGGACCAAGTGGGGATGGGACAACACTTCTCTGGTGGCTGTGACTGCAGCCTGGGGGGTCCTGCAGCAGCCAAGAGCTCTGTAAACCCAGCCTGGCCTTCTGAGGACATGGCACAGGGGTGGGGGAAATTTGGAGGTGTCATTAGGTTGAATATCAGGAAAAGGTTCTTCCCCCAGAGGGCGGCTGGGCACTGAAGAGGCTCCCCAGGACAGTGGTCATGGCCCCAAGGCTGCCCGAGCAAAAACTCTCAGGCACATGGGTGGGACTGTTGGGGTGTCCTGTGCAGGGCCAGGAGCTGGACCTGATGATCCATGTGGGTCCCTTCCAGCTCAGGATATTCTGTGATTCCATGGTTATTTTTTCTGGTGGCTCGGGGTGAGCACCTGAAGCTTTGCTCCTGCCCCAGCTGCTCCCCCCTCTCCCTCCCCTCTCTTTCAGACTTTGTTCCCATTGACCTGGAGGAGTGGTGGGCACAGCAATTTCTGGCCAAAATCGAGAACTGCTCATAAAAGGGAAGAAAAGGTCGCATTTGGTCTCTTTTTAAGAGAAACGAAGCTGTGAGCACCTGGTCGGAGCCCAGAGTCGGTGGCGTTTTCCACCCACGTTTTTAAGATGCCCGGATTGGAGTGACCCCCGGGACCGGACCACAGCCATGCCCGGCCACGTGCCTTCCCCATGCCTGGAGGAGGAGCAGCCTGTGGCCCCAGCCAGGATTCCTTAAGTGCCAGTTCTCGGACCGCTGCAGCTCCTGCAGCCTCCAGCTCCCAGGGACACTTTAGTGCCGTGCTGGGGGCGAGGGAGTGGATCCCCCCTGCAGCCCAGGCCACGGGGAGGACAGCGGGGGGCTGTAGCAGGACCGCCTGACAATAAAGCGCTGAAACTGCCCGTGGAGATGCACTTGGAGCAGGGGGAGGGCAGGGGAGCAGCATCATGCCCTGGAGAGGGGATGCTCACAGCTGAGTTGTGGCTCAGTGGGTGCCTGGCTGCTGTGGCTTCAAGGGGCTTGGAGCCTCTCCCTTGGAGCTGCATCCTTGTCCTGGGGCTGTGCCATGTCCCAGGCCTCAGCCAGGGGCTGGTGCTGTTTTAGGTGATGTTTGGGATTGAGGGAGCACCTGCAGGGGGGCTGAGCACCCTGGCTGTGGTTCAGAGCCAGGCTGCAGGGTAGAGGTGGGGAAAGATACAGGAATGAGGGTGCCAGGGCTAGCCCCTCACTGCCATGGAGGCCAGAAGTCATTTTGAGCCTCAAGCTCAGGATTTCCCCCTCACCCATGGTTGTTGTCTGGGGGAGGCTAAGAGAGAACAGTTGTGGCTGCCTGTGGTGGAAAGAATGGGGACCCTTACTTCTGCTTCCACACAAAAATTCCTCAGCTCATGGGCTTTTCCCAGCCAGACTGAGCTCTTCCAGTTCTGGTTTTGTTGGACACCCTCCTTCCCTCATGTCCTTTTCCCCAAAGCAGAGATCAGGAGGCCAGCACAGCCTGAGCAGAGTCTGACTTCAAAGGAGGCCAGGAAACACCCACTGGAAAAAGAATTGTTTTTATTATTCCTATGATGGGAATAACAATCACACTGCAGCCAGCGGGGAGTAGCAGCCACCTGGGACCTGTGATGCTTCTCCCACCTGGGAGGCCAGAGAAGTGCTAAGGGCAGCCTGACCCTGGCAGCACCTGTCTGGTGAGCTCCTGGTCCTGTCTGCCAGGTGACCATTCCTGGTCCTGCTCCCTGCCTTGGCACTGTGGCTGTGACTGAAATTGGGAGCAGCACCATGCACAGCCAGCAGCACCTGCCTTGGTGACAGGGAGGGTGTTACAGCCCCGTGTGACAGTGTAATGCTGTTTCCTCCCCCCCCCCCAGGGCTGGGGTCAGGGGATGCCATCTGTGAATGGACTCCTCTCACCTCAGCTCTGCCAGGGCATCATGGGCACTAGGGGGTTATGCTGTCTCTGTGTATCCCCCCTGCCCAGCACCAAGCCTTGCAGGGGGTCACCAGTACCCCAACAGGACATGTACTGTTACTGCTATGCTCAGGGCACTGCCAGCCCGTGGCAATTTGGCATCTCACCCCCTGCAACCCCCACATTCCCACTGCTCCCTATGCCAGGCAAAACCTAGGAGGCTCTGCTGTATGTCCCTTTCCAGAAAAAAAAATAAAAGGTACTGGGAGTCTCAGCACTTTGCTGGTGGCTCCAGGCACCCTTCCAGCAGAAAGCATCCCCCTTTTTCTTCCCTCTCCAAGGATGTCGCTGGTGCTGGGAGTCCCTCCCGCAAGGTGCCCTGGCAGTAGCTGGCTCTGCTGCCCACTAGGATGCTCCCAGGGAGCAACCCCTCCCTGCCAGCAGCTCCAGAGGGCTCCAAGGTGTCCAGGGATGCCATTCACCTGCTGGCTGCTTGCTAATAAAACACACATCGTTAAGATCTGGGGAAATTCTTAGTAACATGATGCACCATCGTTCTGAACAACAACATTAGGCAAAGGGAAAAAAAATGGAACAGGAAAGAATGAGTCAGTCACGGGGAAAAGAACAAAAACCCAACCCAAAAATGTAACCCAACCCCTGACAATGCAATCACTGGGAGGGAATCAGCCCCCCTCTCCATAAATATTAATTAGTTATGTGCAATTGTGTGTAGTACTATAGTGCAAATAGCTCTGCATTGATCGCGGGGCAGCGGCCGGAGGGGCTGCCCCAGGTGACACAGGGACTAGTTAAGGACAGACAAGAATCAACACGGATTTCCAACAAACAAACAAAAAAAAAGCAACCCAACCACTGGGAAACGCTAAAAAGAAATCCCAGTTGCTGCCTCTGACTGGGCACAGGCAGGGCTGGGCAGTGCTGGTGCCCAGCAGCATCCCAGAGCTGGGCAGGGGCAGGGCAGGGCCTTCGCTCCCCGCCTGCTGCTGGAACAGGGGATGGGGATGTGGGACAGGTATGCTCTGGTTGGAGCTGTGTGGGCATAGGGGGTGAGCTCAGCAGGACATGGGCACAGCCAGGGCATTGCTGGCTTCAGACCAGTCCTGTGGCTGCACAGCACAGTGTGGGGCAGTGCTGCTGGCAAACCCCTGCATGGGCACAAGACTGAGCCCAGCAGTGTCCTTGGGCACCCTGTGGCACTGCAAACACATCCCACTGAGCACAGCCACGTCCACGGGCACCCTGTGAAATCCCACTGAGCACAGCAGTGTCCCCAGGGACCCTGTGGCACCTCTCACAGAGCCCAGGAGTCCCTGGGCACCCCTCACCCACCGCTGCCTCCAGCCCAGGCTCTGGCTCTCCAGCCATGCCCATCACGTGCTGTTCCAGGGGCTGAGCTGCAGGCATTGCTCCAGCAGCACGTCCTACCTCTCACCCAGTGCCAGCTCCTGGCACCACACAGCTCCCCTTGCATGGCTGAGGTCGGTGCCAGCTCCTCAGGCCAGGCTTGGCAAGCAGGCAGGAGACAGAGTTTTCCCAAGCAGTTAAAGGAGATGGAGCCTCCTCTGTCCCATGCCAGGCAGGAGCCAGACAGGAGCTGTGCAGTGTCCCTCCAGCTGGACACAAAGTGCTTCTAGGGGCAATCCTGGTTACCCCAGGGATGGTTTGGACCTAAGCTATGTGACAGCCTCCTGCTAAACCACGAGCAACCACCAAACGACACATCGACATGCGGGCGAGGACCACGAAGCGGGTGTGAGCGATGGGCAGGGAAGAGGGGAGCAGGGAGACACCCCACTGCCCCTCTGCCAGCCCGAGCCCAACACCCCTCGCCACCCATCCAGGCTCCTCCCAGCTTTTTGGGCAGGTTTTTTTGCTGTGTGGGTGGGATGAAGGCTGGAGAGTGGCAGTGTCTCGTGCACACACACACGGACCGCGGCAGTCCCGGTGATCCCGGTGATCCCGGCAGCACGAGGAAACGCCGCCATCCTCTCCCCCTTCCCCAGTGAAAAGTTTTACATTTATACAGTATTTAAGACACGCTGATATATAAATTACTGTCTCTATATATACTATGTATAGGCTGGGGGCCAGTCCGTGAGGAAGGGCACCGGGGGCTCATTTCCCTCTGTCCTCTGTGTAGTGCTGGAAGCGGGTGAAGCTCATGAAGACCTGCTCCAGGGAGATCTGGCTCACCGAGTAGTCCTCCAAGCGATACTTCTCTTTGGCTTTCTCCAAGGCCCCAAAGACCTGCAAGGGAGGGCACAGACATTAGGGCAGTGTGACTTGGCAGGGGGGATCCCCAGGCTGCCAGGAGGACCCTCAGATTGTGACAGGGAACCCCTAGGCTGTGACAGGGAACCTCCACACTGACAGGGAAAGCAGACGAAGCTTTTTATCTCCAGGGAGACTTGTGGAAGTGACACCTTCCCTGGCAGAAGGGGGGGGGGAGCCAGGAGATGGATTATTTAGCAGAGTATCTGACTCCATTTAAAAATATATCCTGTGTATATGAACATTTTACATATTTATATGAGATAAATGAATATATATACACACACACACACACACACACACACACACACACATACACAACTGGGCTTGAATCCCAGCCCAGGGTTGCTGCTAACACATAATATATATAAAATATTTACATAATCTTAAAAAACCTGCATAGCATACTATATATACACATATATATGTATATATACTATATACATAACTAGCTGTGCATAGCATACAGCTAGCTTATATATAGCTATATATAATATCTAAAATATTTATAAATATAAACACACATATATTTATAAACTATATGTAGTTTTTATATAATCTGTATACTATGTACTCTCTCTATAGTCTCTATATATTCTATACAATATATAATTGATATATATGTACTCTAGAGTATCACCATATACTATATATAGTATATAGATAAATAAAAAAACCTATATATACTATATACAGTGCTTATAGTGTATATATTATATAGTGTATATACAGTGTATATAGGATAATATATTGTAATGTATATAATATACATATACATAATATAGTGTATATACACAATATATACACTGTACATACTGTATATAATATATAGATATATAAAACCCTATATATACCTATATACTGCATATGAAAACAATCTGTATACTATGTATACCTCTGTATACATGTATTTATATATAGATAGCGTATATATATAGGCAGATAGTATTACAGAGATAGATAATATACATCTGTATATACTATGTATATATTCCATATATTACCACCTATGTACATTCTATGCAGATGGTTACATACTATACTTACTATATATATATGTGTATATATATATATATATACACACATATACACACATATATATACACATATATATATATGCACACCCATGGGGTTTTATCTGTATCCCTGGGCTGGGATCCTACTGGGTCCACAGTTGGGTAAAGCCATTGCCCACAGCCCTGGTGGGACCACAGGGTGACACCCAAAGCTGGGGTGCCAGGGGGCTCCTGGGGCTGAGGGACAGGAGCAGGCAGGTGCCTACCCATGCCATGTTTCCCACTGGGATATCAGGGTGGGAATGATGCCTACTGGAAGCAAAGCACTGAGAGCATGCAAAGGGGCAGGAGGAGGGTTCTCTCCTCCTGCAAACAGGGGATTTGCTCCAGCACCCCCTTACCTGTGCCCAGCTGAGGTTCTTGTTGGTCAAGTGGTAATGCACCATGCCCTGGTGCTCATGTTTCAGGACACTGCCTGGGAAAGATGAGCAAGGACAGGTTCTGGGTTAGGGAATGTGCTGAAGCTCACACCCAGCACCCTGCCCTCCCTCCGAGGGCTCACAGTACCTGGGAAAGTCTTCTCCACGAAGGCCTTGAAGGCCAGCAGCTCGCCCTCCTCCTCGCTCCGTGTCTTGGCCAGCAAGGTGTAGCCACTGCCAAACTTGCTTTTGAGGTGCTGGGGGCTGCCCAGGCACTTGAACTGCCCGTTCACCATGATGGCCAGGCGTGTGCACAGCGCCTCGCACTCCTCCATGCTGCAGGAGGGAGAGGACTCGTTCAGAGAATCATGGAATGGTTTGGGTTGGAAGGGACCTTAAAGCTCATCTAGTCCCATCCCCTATTATGGGCAGAGACACCTTCCACTAGACCAGGTTGCTCAGAGCTCCATCTAACCTGGCCTTGAACACTTCCAGGGATGGGGCAGCCACAGCTTCTCTGGGCATGTAAACACCAGGACACAACAGCAGAAGTTTCTGCAAAGTGGTTGGAGGTGTATTCCCTCCTCTCTAGGCTTTTGGAGGAGGGAGATTTAGGTAAAGCCAGCCCCTGGTTGCAGACAGGGACTGCCCACCCACCAGGCTCTGGAGTTGGGTCCCATCCCTTGGACCTGGCCACTCTCCCTGATCTCTCACGCTGAGCCCTGCCCAGCCAAGTGTCACCTGTGGGAGGTGAAGATGATGGATTTGCCACACTCCCGTGTCCGTGTCACCGCGTCCCAGAGCAAACGCCGGGCCACGGGGTCCATGCCAGTGGAGGGCTCATCCAGGAAGATCACGGGGGGACCACCAATGAGGGCAATGCCAGCACTGAGCTTCCGCTTGTTACCACCACTGCAGAGGAATCACAGAACCATTACAGTTGGAAACAATCTCCAAGATCATCAAGTTGACTGAAAAAGGGAGATGGGAATGTAAACAGAGATCCAGGACGAGCACAGGGAGCACCAGGGCAGCGGACACAGGGCTCGTCCACGCCTCTCTCACCTGTAGGTCCTCACGAGTTTGTCGGCGTGGGGCTCGAGGAGCAGCCCCCGCAGCATGTTCTCCACGCAGCTGCCGCTGTAGCGCTCGGGGATGCCCCGCAGCCGCGCGTACATGCTCAGCGTCTCGCGGCCCGTCATGTGCTCCAGCAGGGCATCGAACTGCGGGCAGTACCCGATCCGCTGCTGCACCTGGGGGCGAGAGGAACCCAAGGGAATTAGCTCACAGGCAGGTCTCCGGGCCAGGAGGTGCCTGGGCACCCACAGGGCTTTGCTGCTCCTCAGTGAACGATGGGGGCTGAGCCACAGCTCCAAACCACAGGTGGAATGAGATGGAAATGCTCCTGTTGCTGGAGCAGCGGGGCTGGCAAGGATGGACACAGATAACGTGTCTCTGGGTGACAACTGGGTGGGCTCACACTGCCCTCTCCCAAGCTGGTTCCTCACTGTGAGGGACCATTTTGGGATTCCCAGGATCTCAGGAGAAGGAAAGTGCTGGAGGGTTGGTACCTCCACCATGTCCTGGTCCTTTCCAAGGACAAGAGTGTGACAGAAGGCAGCTCCAGGGAGGGAATCAATCTGGGCCATGCTTTCAGGGCAGACCCTTCTTGTGTTCTCTATGCCTGACCTTGTCGGGGGTCCCATTCACTTATGAGTTGGCCTCAGTGATCCTTGTGGGTCCCTTCTAACTCAGGATATTCTGAGAAATCTGTGACAGTGGTGGAGGAATCCCGAGGTTGAACTGAAAACCCAACCCTGCTCATTTCTTGCTTTTCCAAACGGAGTCGGCAACTCCCAAGGAGTCCTCTAGCGGGGGTCTGGAAAGGTTTGACCTACTTGTTTTAGAGAGATCATTTTCCAATTGTGATCAGTAGCTCACATTTTGCACATTTCCAACTATGGAGCAAAACCTTAGATGAAGGGTTTGCCACCCTCACAAGGTTTGGCTTCCATTTGTATCACATCTGTGATCCCAGTGAAGAGGGGATTGCTTCCACATGACCAGATAATGGAGAGCTGGGCCAGCCAAGGACACAATACCCCTGGGATATTGCCACCCCTGGAACTACAACCACATCCTGCACAGAGGCACCTGCGAGGTGGCTCAGCCCAGCCAGGCACAGGACTGTCTGCAGCACTGCCCCTGCAGCCCTCGGTACCTTCTTGATGTTGGCCAGGATGCTGTGCCCATCCACAAAGGCGTCCCCTGACGTGATGCTCTCATCACCAGTCAGCATCTTGAAGGTGGTGGTTTTGCCTGCTCCATTGAAGCCAAGGAGGCCAAAGCATTCCCCTTTGCTGACGGCCAAGGAGATCCTGTCCACTGCCAGCAGGGACTCCCGGCTGTCATAGACCTGGTGGGGAACACACAAAGCCATGTGTCACCACCTGATGGCACGGCAAGGCAAGGGGTGGCTTTGCCAGCCCCAGGAGTCCACAGCTCAGCCGGCAGCAGGATGCTCAGGGACACGTTCTCCTCACCTTGGTGAGCTCCTTGATGACCAGAGGGCTGCTGAGAGATGACAGCAGTTCTGGTGGCGACTCTAAAACCTTCTTCCTCTCATCTGCCACGTCCCTGTCCTCTGGCAGCACAGACACACGGTTCAGCAGTGCCACCTGAACACACGGGGGAGACACACCCTGTGTCACCTGGCTGCTGGGGGACAAATGGGTGCCTCCAGTGTCCCCAACCCCAGCAGGATCCATCCCTTCCATCAGCCACCTCTGGGGACGCCTCACTCCCTTTCCCACCCCATAAATGCAATGGGATCAGCCCCTCTGAGCAACCTGTTCCAGGGCTGCTCCCTGGGAAGATGATTTGGGTGAAGGGGGCCTGTCTCCAGCTCACAGGGACTCCTGGGCTGGGCTTGGAGGGCCCCTCACTGCTCCCTCCCACACACTTCTGCTCACCCATTTCCGCCGCCTGCAGATGCCACAGATCAGAGTTCTCAGTCTCCAGAGAAGGTTTGTCTCAATGAGGAAGAGGAGGAAGAGGAAGGAGAAACCCTGGACGGCCAAGGAGGTCAGGTATCGCCCGATCCCAGGCGTCTCCCAGGAAAAGTAGTTCATCTGATAACTGATATCTGAGGAGGGATGGAACAAAATCAACACTTGGATCAATCCACACTCAGGGGAGGAGCACATAACCTCCAGAGGAATCTGTGAGCCTAAAGCTTTGCCAGGCTCCTCTCCATCCTCTCCTGCCCACAGCTCTTTCCAACACTTCCCACAAGAGGATTTGGGTCTGGAAGGGATCTGGCAGAAGATGCTCAATGGAGGTACGCAGAGGACACCAATCTTGGGATTTTTTTACTTGCCTATGAAACTTTCTCTAGCCCACATTTTCCTCCAATCCTTAACTGGATCACCTATGAGTGTCAAACACTGCCCAGTTTTTGGTTTAAAATGGTACCTGGAGCTACTGCCCAAGTAGAGGTCCCATGATACTGCTCAGCTCCACCACCCACCCCACAGAGAACCCCAGTGTGACTATGGGGGGTTGGCCAGGTGAGGACCAACCAACACTCACTGAAGGCCTTGCAGATGAAAATGGCTTCAACAGAGGAGGTGCAGAACTGAATGAACTCGTAATTCTGGTAGAAGTCACTGATGCACTGGCCCAAGCAGTAATTGGGTAAGACAAGAAAGACTTTATCCAAGGTTTTGGAGAGGTCCACCAAGCCCAGCTCTGAAAGAGGAGCACAGGAAGATCAGGTGATTGGAGACGGCTGGTTTGGGAGAAAGATGCTGATATTGCCAAGTTCAGAAAGAAATCAAACATATTTTGTCATGTTTAATGGGTGGGAATGGACTGTTGTAGGGTTTTACTGCCAGTGTGGGGACAGTCCTGGGATGACAGAGTTCCCTTGGGGGTTGGACTGTCCTGGTGATGACTGGGCAGGTACAGAGGGCAGTGACCTACCCGGGATGCTCATGATGGTGACAGCGAGGAAGGTGGCGGTGCCAGACAGGATGTTGAAGATGGTGAGTCGGGTGTAGGCCGTGGCTGCCACTGAGAAGAAGAAGCTGAGGAGGTACATGAGGGGGATGATGGCCCAGCCATAAAGGAGGAAGATCAACATCACATCAACAAGGTGGCTGTCTTGGGTGAAGGCTTGCACATCAAAGGCTTGGAATATCACCTGGGGCACAGCAATGTGGGGAGAACGCACATTTGGGTTAATCTCAAGCAACATCTCCTTGTCCCAGCGGCCCAGACACTGGGGTAACAGCAGCACTGCACTGACCCAGAGAACCCCTCATAGATGGGTCCTACCAGCAGCCTGGGCTTGTCCCCAGGGAAGCCCTTTCTGCAGACTGGGATGCAGAAGGGCAGATCTGGGAAATTCCTCTCCAAGCTCCCATGGATTTAACATTTCCTAGTGCCCATAGCCAAGTATTCAGGTGCCAGAGGCTGCAGTCAACTGCCCCAGCTGGTTGGCCATGGTCCAGCTGCCAGCAGGATCAAGGGACAGTTTTCTTGCTGGTCCTTTCTACTGAGACAACACCAGTGGCCTTGTCCTTTTCCCTGCAACCTCACACATCCCAGAGCAGCACCCAGCGCTCCCACCAATGTGGAGGGCATCAGGGCAACTCACCAGCATCAGAGCACAAGGGATGAGGAAGTTGATGATGTCCCAGAGCAGGGCAGAAAGCCAGAAGTTGACCACGTAGACGCCACTGACGAACTGGACGTGCTTGGCCTTGATGGCCCGTTCGCTGACCAGCAGCAGCGCGAAGGTGCTGGCGAGAGAGGCCATCCCGTACAGCAGGTTGATGGCAATGGCAAACCCAGTCTGGCCTCTGTGGGGACAGAGGGGCAGGTGAGAGCAGGGACACCTTGAGAAACCAACGCTGAGGCCACACAGGGACAGCACAGAATCACAGAATATTCCAAGGGAAGGGACCCAAAAGGATCATCAAGTCCAACTCCTGGCCCTGCACAGGACACCCCAACAATCCAACCATGTGCCTGAGAGTGTTGTCCAAACACTCCTTGAGCTCTGGTAGGTTTGGAGCTGTGCCCACTGCCCTGGGGAGCCTGTTCCAGTACCTGACCACCCTCTGGGGGAAGAACCTTTTCCTGATGTCCAGCCTAACCCTCCCCTGACACAGTTCCAACCATTCCCTTGGGTCCTGTCACTGGTCACAGAGAGCAGATATTGGTGTTGCCCTTCTGCTGCCCCTCATGAGGAAGTGTGGTCAGCACACCCACACCAGGCTTCTTGCAGAGAAGAAGCTGCAAGAAGTTAGAAGCTGTAACAAGCTGGCTACACTCCCCCAGCATACCAAATAAACACCCCAGTGAGATGAGCATCTCCCAGACAGAGTCCACCCTGCACAGCCCACCAAAAAACTTCACCCTGCCCTGGCGAGGTCCCATGCGTGGCCTCTCTGTACAGGAGAGGTTCAGAGACCCCAGATGTGGGATTTTGTGAAGTGTACAGCCACACATACTCCCTGCTCTGACCTCCCAAGGAAAACCAACCCCAACCTCTGAGACATGTCTGTGGGGTGACGTGGCTTCCAGGCTCAGGCAGGTAAGTCACCTCCACAGCTTTGCTCCTTTGTCCTCCTGAGTGTAATCACAGCTACGTTTGGGTCTGAGAAACTCCAGCCTGGCTCCTCCACTGACCGAACACAACCAAGCCACCCTGCACCCACAGGAGCCACGGGCCCTAGCAGGAAGACGAGCACTGTGCCATCACACGTACTCCATGAGCTGGTCCTTGGCCTTCTCAGTGATGTTGCGGGGCTGGGGGTAGTTGGTGATGGTGATGGAGGCGTTGGGGCCCGCCAGCACCCTGAGGACAGCATTGTCAGCCAGCATGAGGGCGGTGGCCGGGGCGTGGTAGGCCTGGTTGTTGAAGAGCGCGGTCACCACCGTGCGGTTCCCGGCGCCCTCGAAGGAGGCGGCTGCGATGTAGTGCTCGTTGAAGGCCCCCCCTTCCTCAGAGGCCCGTGAGATGAGGTACTCCTCCAGGCCACCTGCCAAACACACCACTGTCAGGAGCAAGTCCATCGCAGGAGAATTAAATGGGGCCAACTGGAAAAGACCCCAGGCACCCCAGCCCTGGTGGCCCACCCTAGACCTGATCACAGAAACATAGATCCATGGAATCTCCTGAGTCGGAAGGGACCCATGGGAGCCCACCAAGTCCAACTCCTGGCCCTGCACAGGACACCCCAACAATCCAACCATGTGCCTGAGAGCATTGTCCAAACACCCCTTGAGCTCTGGCAGGTTTGGGGCTGTAACCACTGCCCAGGGGAGCCTGTTCCACAAACACAGGGTTACGAAGAAGGCAGCTCTGCTCAAGTGAGGGGGGGTCTTGCCAACGTTGGGACACTCCCACGCAGGAGCAGATAGACAGGAATGTGTCAGATATGCTGTGGCTCGGACCTAAACTACCTGCACCAGTGGCTCCACCTGCTCCATGGGTTGTCCCTGAGCCCTCACCCAGCACCTCCAGCGGCGACTGGCGCTGGGCATCCAGCAGCTCCACGTACTGCTCCGCCAGCCTCTGGGACAGCCCCGCGGCGCCCGGCACCGAGAAAGGCACGACGGTCTGGCCATAGGGCTCCAGTGTCAGCCGCAGCTGGGACGAGTCCCGCGGGCCCGGGAAGGTCTTGGCCACGATGAGGGCAAAGGCAGTGAAGATCAGAGGCACGAGGAACTGCGCCGCCACCATCTTCCAGTTGCGCCAGCTGTACATGGCTCGCTTCATGAACATGGCGTAGAACTGCTGGCAGCACAGGTAGAACTGGCAGGGGAGAGGTCAGGTCAAGGTGAGCCCTGCTGGCTGTGGACACATCACCCCACACAGCTGATGGGGAAACGACTCCAAAACCACTCCTCATCCTGCATGCAACCCTCCAGCCTGCAGCAGAGCCTGCTCTCAGCCAAGCCTGTCAAGGGATTAGCAGGGCAGCTGCCTGGCTTCAGCACATCCGACTCCCTGGCTTCTGAACGAGACACAGCCTCTTTGGGATCTCAGGTGTTAAAAGCAGTATCAGCCATGACCTTTACCTTCCTCCACCTCCCAGCATTTGAGGTTCACAAAGAGGATTACTGTGGGGTGGCTGCTGCCGAAGCGGCCAGGGGAGACGCCTGGAGTGCCCAGCCCAGCCCCTGCCAGCACCTTCTCTGCTTTCCAAACCCTGCAACACCCTTCTCCCCCTCTGCTTTTGAGACGTGCCCTTGAGAAGACAAGGGATATTTATCACAGGCGCAGAGGCAGCGGGGTGTGAAGGGCTGTGCAGGATCTGGGACACGAGCCTAGCCAGGGAAGGGAGATGGATTTTCAACCCCAGTGATGGAGCAACGGTAGGTGAAAACCACTTTAGACCACCTGGAATACCTCAAAGAGCAATTCTGTAGATGTCAAGATTAACGCAAAGAGGATGGCAGTGACCAATCCCCCCAACCCTAAAAGTCATTTGCCCTAAAAACACAGATTCCAACTTAATCTTCCAATTTCAAGCCACATGTCATGAGATCGGCCATGGGGGAGGCTCTACCTGGTAACCCTGCTCCAAACCCCCTCTTCACAAGCCCCCTCCCCGTTCCTGCTGCACCGTGCCCCCAGCACTCACCCCGGTGTTGAGCTTGATGCTGGAGCAGTCCTCGGTGATGAGAGCCCCGCTGTCGTCCGTCATGTCCGTCATGCCACTCAGGCTGCTCGAGTCATCCATGGCCCAGTCATTGGAGCGTCTCTCGTGCTGGTACTGGAGGGCAGGCAGCTGGATGGCCTGGATATCCATGCTGGAGTCCACCAGCTTCCCAACCCTGTGCCAGGAGGGAGAGCAGGTGATGCAATACAAGCCCAGGCCGGATCAAGCGGTTCTGAGCTGAGGAAGCCAAACCCAAGGCAGCAAACCCCACATGAGCTATGCAGGACATCCTCAAACCACATGGGGATGGGTCATCCCTCGTTCCTACCTCAGGAAAACCTCCTCCATGGTGGTGACCGAGGCGCCGTAGCTGGCGATGCCCAGCTCCTCCCGCCTGTGCTCCAGTTCCGTGAACAGGGCCTCGAACCTGAGTGGAGAAGTGAGATGTTAGACACTGATGCTCATGAGAGGGGGCACTCAGGGGTAAAGACCCTCTGTGCATCAGCCCTGCAGCTGGTTTAAGTCTTACTGCCAACTCCAGGGCTGCCTGTGGCACTGAGCATCCCTCTGTCCACAAAAGCAGCTTTTGGGCTCCATCAGCTGCTCTTCCTTGCCTCAGCTATCACAGAATCATGGAAACACAGAAGGGTTTGAGTTTGGAATGGACTTTAAAGACTGTCTCATTCCAAAGCCCCTGCCACGGGCAGGGACACCTTCCACCAGATCAGGTTGCTCCAACCCTCATCCAACCTGGCCTTGAACATTTCCAGGGATGGAGCAGCCACAGCTTCTCTGGGCAACCTGTGTCAGGGCCTCACCACTCTCACAGCCAACAGTTCCTTCCTAATACGCAATCCGAATCTCCTCTTTCTCAACTCAAAGCCATTCCCCCTTGTCCTGTCCCTTCAGGTCCTTGTCCAAAGTCCCTCTCCACCTCTCCTGGAGCCCCTTTAGGCACTGGAAGGGGCTCTCAGGTCTCCCTGGAGCCTTCTCTTCTCCAGGTGAACACCCTCAGCTCTCCCAGCCTGACTCCAGAGCAGAGGGGCTCCAGCCCTCGGAGCACCTTTGCTCCAGCAGCTTCATGTCCTTCTGTTGGAGCCCTAGAGCCAGAGGCAGCACTGCAGATGGGGTCTCACAATGGCAGAGTAGATGGGGACAATCACCTCCCCTGACTGCTGGGTCCATAGATTTGATTTTGGAGCCAGAGCAGCCTGCCTTGTTTGTGCCACCCTCCACACTGCAGGAGGAACTGAACCCCATTTTCCAAGACCAGCTCTGACCAGCAGCTCCCCTTTCCAGCAAGCCCACAAGGACAGTGTGTGCCCCAGTGTGTGGAGACAAGGGGACCCAGCCAGGGTCCCCAGGTAGGGGACGATGGCATTACCTGTGCGTGCTCTCCTTGGGCAGGATGAAGGACAGCTCTGCCCCGGCGTTGCTCTCCATGGTGGCGTTGGGCACGTACTGGCAGATGAGGCGGGAGATCTCCCCCAGGTTGCAGTAGGGCTCCTTCACCATCACCATGTGATATCCTGCCCCTGGGCAGAGCCACGAGACAAGGGAGAGGAGGGTCAATCCCAGCCCAGCCTGGCCCGGGTAGGGGGCTGGAGAGAGGGATGCTCAGGCATGACTTTGCCTGGGCTGTGGACACAATGCAGGAGCAAGTGTGGGGATGGGCCTCAGGAGAGGCAGAACAGCAGGATGGAGAGCAACCAGCCTTCAGACAAGGAGCAATAGGCCCCCTCCCTGCCCTGTGCCCTCATCCTGCTCCTCCCTGGTGAGCAGACCTGGAGCGTGGGCTGCTGCCCCTCCCGTACCGTATTTGCGCTTGAGGAAGAGCGAGGAGCCGCAGCACTGCAGCTCGCCCTTGGCCATGATGGCAATGCGGTCCCCCAGCAGGTCTGCCTCGTCCATGAAGTGGGTGGTCAGAAGGATGGTTCTGTTGCTCCTCTGCTGCTGCAGAAGGTCCCAGGTGGCCCTGCGAGAGGCCGGGTCCATCCCCGACGTCGGCTCATCCAGCATCACCACCTGCACAGGGGACATGGCAGCAGGTCAGGAAGGGCTGGGAGAGGCCCAGCAGTGCAGGAGGGACAACCCCGGGGCCCAGGAGGAGCCTTGACCTCGCAGCAGTGATCTTGTTTGGGGGAGCAGCTGCCAGGCAGCAGAGCCTCAGGGCATCGTCCCCTTTGTGAGTGTGCTCCTGTCCCCTCCCCATTGTCCCTGCTTCTCCCACTGGCTCACCACGGGTGAGGAACAGCCTCAGAGCCACCCCAAGGACTGTGTTGGCCCCAGGTTTGAGCTGAACCCCGTTGAAGCTGCTTGCCTTGGAGTCCCCGATGAGGGCGATGCCGATGGAGAGCTTGCGCTTCATTCCCCCAGAGAGAGCCTTGGTGAGGGAGCGGCGCTTGTCCTCCAGGTTGAGGATCCTCAGGATGTGGTTGATCTCCTCGGGGCACTTGGAGGGTGGGTATCCCTTCAACTGCCAGATGGGGGAAGGGAGAGTCAAGCCCAGGTCTGCCAAACCCCACCACACTCCCTTCCCCATACCCAGGCAGGAAAGTGGGGAAGCAGAGATGGGCTCCTGCCCACCCCTGAAGGAGCTGGCACAGCTGGTGTGGGGTTTTCCACAGAGTCATGCTGCCAGTGACCCTCCACTCCTCCCTCAGCCAAGCAGGGAGCTCCTGCCTGCAGATGAGGTGGGAGGAGGAGGCAAGGGCTGTTCTGCTTATCATAGAATGCTTTGGGTTGGAAGGGGCATTAAAGCTCATCCAGTCCCATCCCCTGCCATGGGCAGGGACACCTTCTACTAGCCCAGGTTGCTCCAAGCTCTGTCCAACCTGGCCTTGGACACTTCCAGGGATAGCCACAGCTTCTCTGGGCAACCTGTGCCAGGGCCTCACCACTCTCACAGCCAACAATTCCTTCCCAATATCCCATCTAACCCTGACCTCTGACAGTGGGAAGCCATTCCTCCTTGTCCTGCCACTCCAGGCCCTTGTCCAAAGTCCCTCTCCACCTCCCTTGGAGCCCTTTTAGGCCCTGGAAGGGGCTCTCAGGTCTCCCCAGAGCCTTCTCTTCTCCAGGTGAGCACCCCCAGCACTCCCAGTCTGGCTCCAGAACAGAGGGCCTCCACCCTCTGACCATTTACGTGGCCTCCTCTGGAACCACTTGATGGATCTCACCCCTCAGGAAGCCAGGAGGTGGCTGCTGGGTGCCTCCCCCAGGCCTGGCTGCCCCCCAGTGCCACACTCACCCCAGCATAGAAGTGCAGGTGCTCTTCCACCGTCATGTTGTCGAAGAGCACGTCGTGCTGGGGGCACAGCCCGAGGCTGCGGCGGATCAGCACCATGTCCTGGGAGATCTCGTAGCCATTGATGTAGGCCTGGCCACCCGTCGGGGAGTGCAGCCCTGCCAGGGGAGAGAGGATAACCTCAGGGCTCAGGATAACCCCAAAGGCAAAGAGCATCCCCCCACACATGCGGCTTTCTGCCAAAATTCAGAGCAAGCCTATCTCCTGCTCAAGCTGGGGTACAACAGCTTCCTCCCACCCTCAGGGTGGGCTGTGTGGCACCCACAGGTGGGACATGGACCTGGCAGTGCAGCAAGGAACAAGCCTGGCTCTGAGCTGAGCAGAGGTCAGGACAGAGCTCCAGGAAGGTCTCATGAGCCCCCTGAGCTGCCAGGAGCAGCTCAGAGCAACAGAGAACAGAAGAGAACCATCAAAGGTCACCGTGTCCATCATGCCAAAACAGGTGCCCTGGAGCTCAGCAGCTCAAGGGTGACAAAGACCAGTTAGTTCTCCCTTATCTGCCTTATCATGGCAAACCCTATAGAAACCCATCCTAGAGTGGGTCTGGTGTCTTCTCAGGGCTCTCCAGCACAAAGACTGGCCGTCATTTCCCCCACTACCTGATCCCACTCTCGTAGAGGGCTGAGCAGGGACCCCCATGCTCCCTCCATTTCCCTCTCACTACCCCAGCATGCCTGGCCAACAGCTCAGCAAACCAAAGGTGCTCCAGGGAAGAGTAAAAACCCCTCCCCAACCTCAGAGATGAGGTTCAGCTCCTCTTTGAGGGCCAAGCCATCAGCCCTTCCCTGCCCCACACCAGCCCCACAGCAGGATGCTCTACCTGTGAGCATGGACAGGGTGGTGGTCTTCCCAGCACCATTGTGTCCCAAAAGGACAGTGATCTGCCCTTCGTACATGTTCACTGTGAGGTCCTTGACTGCCTCTTTTGTCTTGTTTCCCACTTTGAAGACCTGAAGAGATCACATTAATGAGCTGATGCTGTACTCCAGGCAAGTGCTCTGGGATGCTCCACCCAGCATCCACTGGGATGCTCCCAGGGTGTTCCAGTACACAACAGCTCTAATTCAGGTAAAATTCAGATGTCACTGCACCTGTAAGTACCCAGCACTTCAGTCCACCAAAAAATGCAGCCAGCTCTGGGAACAGCCTTACCTGCTGTCCCCAGCAGGCAGCAGATTTTACAAAACCAACATTATGGTGTCTTTGTGCCGTGCTGAGCAGTGGGTACCTTGGAAAGGTGCTTTATTTTGATGCCTGACACGAGGTCAGCAGGTTCCTCCTCAATGTACTGACTCTTCAGGGCCTTCTCGGGGTCCTCCTCCTCCTCCTTCTCTTTCCCCACGACAGTCCTGGGCCGCCCGCACCAGTATGAGGGCTGATGGAGGAAGGGAGAGAGAGAACTCAGGCATAGGCAGAGCCCATCTCTTCTCCCCAGCCTTGGCCACCCTCCTCTCCCACAGACATCTCCTAGGGATCTTTCAGACCACTCTCCTCAATCTGGGAATTGCCAACCAGCACACCTTCAGCAGGCAGGGCAGACAGGATGGGACAGCTCCTCCTGCCTTGCCTCCTTCCTCCATCTCTCCCTTACAGCAGGACTGCCTGGGGTCACAGAGCAGCTTTTCCCATCTTCATCCCCATGGAAAAGGTCAGTATCTCAATGAGAAGTAAAATCACTCAGGCAGAAGCACCTTGCCCAGGAGAGCCCATGAGAGGGATGATCATTCCCTCCAAAACCTCTGACACATACTAAATACAAACAGCCTGGAGTCTACCCTGCTGCAGTTACAGCCTTTTTTCCTTTCATCTGGCTCTCTGGGAATGAAGTTAAATGTTTGTGACCTTAAACCCCTGTGGAAATAACAATTCAACAACTCCTGGATGCAAAATTGGCTTTTGGTAGATGGCTGCATCTCCACTCCCCCGGCCTGGCTGCAAGAGGGAGTGAGATGTTGGAGTGAAACCATGCTGGGATAAGGAATTTAGAGGGGAGGAGGAAAAGCCTCTCTATCAAACAAGGGATCCAGCCACAGGATCCAAAGGAATTGTGTTGCTCCCCACAGTGCCCACTACAGCTGCAGCTGCTGAAGGTGATGCCGAGCATTTGGCTTGGCAGAGCGAGGGTGGCTCAGCTGACAAGGTGACAGTCATCACCCACCCCCTGGCACGTGGGGGCTGGCAGTGGATGGCAGTGCTCAGGGGGGGTGTCAGATGACTGGATCTGGTTGCTCACACTTGAGGTTTCTCTCCAATGCCTTTGCTTGGGCACGGAGACATTTAACAACACCCTGCATGCCAGGAAGTGTCGGGACAAAGATTTAAAGCCAAGACGACCTTCATAGGCAGTAAAAAATTACAGCTGCATAAGCCTTCAGCCAGGACGTGCTGCAGCCCCTGTGACTTTGGAGGCCAGATGGTGCCACTCTCATACATCAGACCAGCCCACTGCATGGCACAGAAGTGGTGACTGTGCCCAAATGACGCCCCTGGAGCCCAGGGAAGGGGTGTAAGCAGAGCTCACCGTCAGGAAGAAGTACCAGGGCTGTGGCACACCGTACTCCCCGGGGAACACAGCCTCCACATACCAGGCCACCAGCCCATAGAGCACCGAGTCCAGCAGCAGCATCCCCAGCACCTGGGCCAAGGTGAAGTTGTCATCCACGCTGACGGGTTTCATGAGGTCCCTCCACTGGATGCCAGTCCCTGCAAGGCACACAGGGCACTGCCACCTCTGCATCCCCAGCAGGACACAGGTTTCTCCAGGACTGGCAAAGAGCATCCCCTCTCCCAGTTCCCAGTTCTGTAACGACGACCACCTGCACAGCTCTACAATCCCTTCTGTGCATGGAGGGAAAAGAGGCACGGACATCCTGAGGCTCCCCACCCTACCACACTCCTTCCACCCCACCATGCTCCCTCCATCCCACTATGCTCCTTCCACCCCGTTCTCTGCCACTGCCTGGGATGAAATGGCCCCTTCTCCTCCATCACCCCTGTCACCACAGCCACTGGTCTACTGCCAGCACTTTGTAAATGCATGGTTCTGCTGGAACCAACAGCAGGCTCATTAATTAAAGAAATTAAAGATATATATCAGGAAGGAGGAAATGCAATGGTTCCTATCCATTAGAACAGAATTCCTTTGGTAATTAAAGTGATGATGGCATTTTGCACAGCCCAGGGGCATGGAGAGGCTCCCCTGGTGTGGAAGCAATCAGCAATTCACCCTCCTGCTCTCCTTAGGAGCAGGAAAGTGCTTCTCCCTGACATCTTTTCACCAAGCCAGTCTCATCCCATCAGAAAATCAGGCTGACTCCTCTCCCCAGGGACAGGATGTTCCCTCCCCAGGAACAGATGGCACTGCTCACCTTTCCCTTCAAACATGCCGATGAGCTGTGCCCCCATGGCCATGGCCACATTGGAGATGAGGCAGGATGCCAGCTTCTGGCTGTGGGACATCAGGTCATAGCGGGGCGAGATGAAGAAGTAGGGGATGTAGGAGAAGAAGTAGAGAAAGCCGCCAGCAGCAGCCGCGACGTTTGCTGCCAGCAGGGAAGAGCGGGAGGGAAAACGTCAGTAACACGGTGATGCCACCCAGTATCCTCACCAGCCTTCCATCCAGGGAGATTCCAGCCTTTGGCACAAAGGCTGGGTACATGGAGACAGGATGAGGACAAGCCCCTGTCCCACAGCAAGGCAGGAGCCACATCTGGCTCCCAACCCCATGGTGGGCAGCTGCAGAAGGCCCTGCACACCCCAGAGCACAGAGTCCGGGGGCTGTGAGACAGCAGCATGAGGCCCTAAGGCATGAGCTTGTCACAGAATCACAGAATAGTTTGGATTTGAAGGGACCTTTAAGACCATCTTGTTCCACACTCCCTGCCATGGGCAAGGACACCTTCCACCAGATCAGGTTGCTCCAAGGTCTATCCAACACAGTCCTGAACAATTCCAGGGATGGGGCAGCCACAGCTTCTCTGGGCAACCTGTGTCAGGGCCTCACCACTCTCACAGCCAAGAATTTCTTCCTAATACCCAATCTAAATCTTCCCTATTTCAACTCAAAGCCATTCCCCCTTGTCCTGTCCCCCAGGCCCTTGTCCCAAGTCCCTCTCCAGCTCTCTTGGAGCCCCTTTAGGCACTGGAAGGGGCTCTCAGGTCTCCCTGGAGCCTTCTCTTCTCCAGGTGAACACCCCCAGCTCTCCCAGCCTGCCTCCAGAGCAGAAGGGCTCTGGCCCTTGGAGCATTTTCGTAGCCTCCTCTGGACCTGCTCTGGTTTGGGAAGCAACAGCACCCACATCCCCTCCCACCCACTGTGTGGAAAAGGCAGCCAAAAGGGGAAGAAAGACCCCTCCCCTCCACATGTGGAAGTGATCAGTAACACAAGGAGGGACCAGGGTGGGACTCACCTCGCGAGAAGAAGGCGCTCACCATGAAGTTGAAGGAGATGGAGGAGATGGAGAAGATGGCAAGGAAGGTGAACACCAGCGTGGGGTCACTGTTGGTGAGCACCGCTCCCTGTTCACTCACCTGCTGAGAGAATCTGGTCACTCCCAGAGCCAGCCGTGCCTGCAGCACGTGCAGGCAGCCCAGACCCGATGTTCTCCAAGGGTTAGAGACAAACTGAGATGGATGAGAACACCCAGAAACTCCCAGACCACTCCAGAGGAAGGAAATACAGCTGGCCTTCATGTGACATGGGGTCTAAGGGACAGGGGACAGCCTGGCCAGCACCCGGGCAGCCCCCTCCTGCTTCCCACGGTGTGGGCACATGCAGAGGGAAGAGCCCAAGTCCCTCCAAGGGCTATAGGAGGGTGGTCCTGCTCTGCACAGTGTTCATGGGGCTTCCAAGCCCCAGGCCCCTCCGAGGGAGTCCCCCCTGCCATGAACACAGCTGTGGGGCAGCACTGCCCACCTCGCTCTGGAAAAGGCTGACTCCAGCCTTCGGAGGAGCCCTGGGACACCAGGACAGTCCTATGGCAGAGCAGCTCTGTCACCCCTGTGCCTTGCCAGCACAGAGCTCATGGCCTGGGGACAGACACTCACCTTGACACAGAAGAGCACGGTGACGAAGAACACGGACACCAGGAGGAAGAGGAAGAACATGAGGAACCAGGCGCTCCAGTGCAACCAGTTGCTGAGGCCCATCATGCGCATGTACTCCTGTGGGAGGTCACGGTGTCACCCAGGGCTGCTCCCCGGGCACGGCCAGGGCGACCTGGAGGTGGCTCTGCCCCGCGGCACAAGCGAGGAGGTGGCAGCCCCAGGTGCCACCAGAGTGGTCCCTGCACAGCCACCAGCCTGGCGCGGTGTCCCCATCTCCCCGGACAGGGCTGCCACCACAGAACATGTCCCCAGAGAGACAAGCTGAGCCCAAACCCACAGCAGGGTGCCAGCAGTGTCACCAGGGCCACACAGCAGCAGGCAGGACACCCAGTACCTGAGGTAAGCTAAGCCCTGCTGTTGCAACCACACAGCTGAACCCCAGCCACCCCCACAGCACACGCACACACAGGGCTCTACACTCAAAAGGACAAAAATCTTCCTTCCCACGCACTGAACTCCTGAATCCACAAACTCTGGAACCCACAAGTGTTGCCCTCTCTCCCAGCCCAGGAGAAACACCATCCCTGTGGTCCAACACCCTCGGCTGCACAGCGAGGAGAGCCAAGTCTCATCCCAGCAGCAGGATTAGCAACATTCCTCCCTGGGGCTCGTTAATCCACTGCCATCCCCACCTCCTGCGCTGGCTCCGAACCCAATGGGGATTTTGTTCCTAATTTAAAGGCATCATCCATTGGGAAACGCCACTGCTCACCTTCAGCTTCTTCTCCTTCTCGTGGACGACGGCGCGGACGATGTTGAGCGAGGTGTAGGTGAAGCTGAGCATGAGCAGCAGTGGCAGCTGGTTCTGGATGGCCAAGAGGAACAGGTCATTGACGTAGGCGGGGTAGGGGAAGCGCTGTACCACCACTGTGATGTTCTCCAGCAGGCTGGTAGAGCTGGCACTGGCATGATACTGCATGATGGCCCTGTCCACGGCGTGCTGCACCGCCAGGAAACCCTCCCGGAGATAACCTGCACAGCAAGAACACACAGGGATAGAGACAGGTCTGGCTTCTGGACGGAGAGACAGCCCTTGTGGGAAGGATTGGTTGGGAAGAGGAACATGGACCAAAAATGGAGTGTGGAGGAAAAGCAAAAAAGCATCACTAGGACACAGTCCTGCAGACACAGCGGGGCTGGGGAAGGATGGACAGCAACTTACAGAATCACAGACTGGTTTGGGTTGGAAGGGCCCTCAAAGCTCATCTCATTCTACCCCCTGCCATGGGCAGGGACAACTTCCACTAGCCCAGGGACACTCTCCACTAGACCAAACCACTCTCTCATAACCATCATTTAGAAGGAGCTGGCAGGAAAACTCAGTTTACACCATGTCCTGTAGAATGGTTGTGATTTTATAAGGGGGAGATTCCCCGTCACCATCAACCACCAAAAGTCACCTTTTTCTTTGTAAACCAAAGGAATACAGGATACTCCACAGGCTGTAGGGAGGAAGGATATATCCTGGGACTCATAGGTGGGGCTTAAATTTTTGTGCATTAAAAAACAGTGAAAAGAATTTTAATTTCCCAATAGAATCAGGGAATATCCAAAGCTGGAAGGGACCCACAAGGATCATCCATCCAACTCCTGGCCCTGCACAGACACCCCAACAATCCCACCCTGGCCCTCAGAGCGTTGTCCAAACACTCCTGGAGCTCTGGCAGCCTTGGGGCCGTGCCCACTGCCCTGGGGAGCCTGTTCAGTGCCCAACCACCCTCTGGGGGAAGAACCTTTTCCTGAGATCCAACCTACCACTCCCTGACACAGCTTTAATTAACAAAATAAACTTAAAATAGTTTATTTTTAAGAGGGATTGCTGCCAGGTGTTACCTGAAGAACAACTCAAATTCTCTTACAAAACCCAAAATGAGCATCTTAAAAGTCCCTTGGTTACAATGACCCCGAGAGAGGAGATAAAAGTGGGAATATGAGATCGAGAACAGCGTTTGATATGAACTCATTTACTGAGCAAACACTCTGGGGCTCAAGTTTATTTACACACTGGGAGCACAACCTGTTTGCCCACTTCCTCACACTCTCACTCTCCCTGGATATGGATGAAGGGAGAAACCCCACTGAGGGAAATACCCCCTTTGCCAAGCAGGGGAAGCTCCCAAGAAATCCAGTCCTAAGCCAGCGCCAGCTCCAACGGTGTCCCCTCTGGCTCCGGATCTGCCAGTGGTTTGGCTGCCCTTAAACACCTCAAACCACAGAATTGCTCTACTTACTTTTCAAGTGCTTAAACAGCACAATAAACACCGGGCAGTTTGGATTGTGAAATAAAATTTCCATTAAATTAGAAATGGAAAAAAAATTAAATTTTAAAACAATTTATGTACGTTAAAATTTATTCTCATCCAGCCCTACTCAGCAGAGGTGCCCAGAGGCCAGCAGTGCCTGTGAAGTCACAGGATAAAATTGAAATAAAGAATATAGATAATAAATATAACAAAAGTGTAAATATATTTAAATAATATTTAAATTATAAAGAATAATTTAAACATATAAATTAATTTTTAAATTAAATTTAAATAATGAATAAAAAATATAAGAATAAATATATAAATATAAAAATCAAATACATAATGGATAATTAATAATTTAACTAATATTTTAATATAACTATTTTTAAATATGTCATTATTTGATGAATTGTTTATATATGCACTGACAGAAATTGAATATAAATGTCCATATAAATATATAACAATTTAATTATTTTTGTATTTATATAGACTTATACACACACTTATAAAAATTTAACATAAATACCTATATAAATGATTACTGAATTACTTGTCTGTACTTATATAAATTTACTATTTATATAAATATAAATAAATATTTGTTTGGCTTGTATTTTTAAATTATATAATATATAACATAAAATATATATTTTATATAAATATAATATATATAAATATATATTAATATAAATATAACATATAAGGTATATTATATATTAAGATATATAATCTATAAATTTATATTTTATATCTAGTATTGTATTATAACAATATTATTCTATACTGTATATTGTATATTATATATTATGCATATTATTAGAGTGCATATTAAAATTAGATATTCTGTAAATGTAGTACTGGCATAAATATGAATAAATATTTCATTATAATTCATTAAATTTAATTTCTTTTTAAATTTAAAAATTTAAAAATTAATTTAAAATTAATCTATTTCTTTAAAGGCTCAGAGCCTCGGTGACCCCCTGGCAGGGGCTGAGCTGTGCCTGGCGGGTGACCCCCCGTCCTTGGCCGTGCCCCAGAGGGTGGGTGACCTCACCTGGTGTCCCTCCATCGGCAAACTTGGCCTCTCGTGGCCCAGGCAGCTGGAAGAGGGGGAACAGGTAACTGGTGTGCCAGTCCCGGTCCAGGTTGGGGTTCAGCCCCGTCTGCTCGCTCCGCGGCGCGTTCCTGGGGCTGTACTTGAAGCGCAGCTCGTACTCCACCTGCGGGGAGCACAGGAGGAGGGACACACCAAGGTGGGACACAGGGGTGACCCCGGGTGTGTCCCCACACCCCACACCGAGGTGGGACACACGGGTGACCCCGGGTGTGTCCCCACACCCCACACGGAGGTGGGACACACGGGTGACCCCAGGTGTGTCCCCACACCCCACACGGAGGTGGGACACACGGGTGACCCCGGGTGTGTCCCCACACCCCACACGGAGGTGGGACACAGGGGTGACCCCGGGTGACCCCAGGTGTGTCCCCACACCCCACATCCCTGAGCACTCACCTGCAGGGGCAGCGGGGCCGTGCTCTGTGGGAAGTGGTGCCGGAACACCACGGCGGCCAGGACGCTGCCAGAGCGGTTGTCCAGCCTCACATACTCCTCAAAGTCCTTCTCTGAGGCAAAGCCCTGAGCTGTGGAGGCAGAAGCATGGAGATGCAGGAACAAGGCACGGCAACACAGCATGGATTGATGCTCAGCTACCAGAAGGGTTTGGTCCAGGACATGAGGGATGCTCTGTGCCTGTTGTCAGACACAGGGGAGTCACACGGGATGCTGGAACTGTACCCTGGGCATGGAGACATCCCTCCTTTTTGAGAGCAGGATTCAGCTGTTCCAGAGAAAATCCTAATAGTTTGAAACACCAAGTGCTAAAATTTTCTATGCCTCAAGGTTTCCAAAAATATTCCTTCTCAGGGAAGCGCCAGCCACTTCCTTTAACTGTTTTAGGGCGATATTTTTGTAGACAGAAACTGCAAAAAAAGCCACGAAAAATCAATCCAAAATCCTGTCGTTTTAGTGAAAAAAAAAAAAAAAATCAAACCATTGCCTTGAAGTTCTGAAAAAAATTATGTATCCCAGGAACAGAGCATCAGGATTCAGAATCAGAGTCACAGAATGGTTTGGGATGGAAGACCTTAAAGATATCCCATTCTATCTGCCACCATGGGCAGGGACATCTTCCACTAGCCCAGGTTGCTCCAAGCCCCGTCCAACCTGGCCTTGGACACTTCCAGGGATGGGGCAGCCACAGCTTCTCTGGGCAACCTGTGCCAGGGCCTCACCACCCTCACAGGGGAGAATTTCTTCCTAATCACAGAATTATGGAATGGTTTGGGTTGGAACAGACACTAAAGCTCATCTCTTTCCAGCCCCCTGCAATGGGCACTAGACCAGGTGGCTCAGAACAACAATTCCTAGGAATTTCTGGGGAGGAAGGAACAGCCCCGGCCCCGCTCACCTCGGATGTTGATGGGCAGCGCTCTCTCCACCGCCTCGGCGATGCTCCGGACGGCGCTGCTGTTGGAGGGGACATAGGCCAGCTCCCAGGGATTGCTGGGGTGCCGGGAGGAGAAGAAGCTGGGCAGGTCATCCACGGACTGGGTGGGGTACAGGGTGGCGTTGGGGTGGCTCACGGAGTGCACCCGGTGCCGCAGCGCGATCAGGATGGCGGCGAAGAGCAGCGGCAGGCACACCTCGATGAGGGTCACCAGGATCTGCCGCTTCTGCAGGGCAAGAAAAGAGAGACAAACACAGAGAGAAGTACAGCAAATATATCATGTCTCTTTATATAGACATCTATCACAGTTACCTATCTATACATAGATATCTATAGGTATATACAGATATAAAGAGAGAAAAAAGAAGATGGAAATACAGAAGGTAGATCAGCACAGTAAGAGGCTCAGGGCATGGAAACACCAATAAGCAGTAGCATCTTACATTCCACAAGGTTTCACAACCTGGGTTTTTCCAGAGCCCCGGAATGATGCTGCACTGGTTCCCACAACCTTCATGGCTCTCCATCCAAGGTGTCCCATACCCTAAGCACCTCCCTGGCTCAGACCACCCTCCATAAGAGCCTCCCCCACCATACTGCCAGGTTGAATGATCCCAGCTGGTTGGTTGTCCTTTCCCTGTGCCCTGGGGCTCTGCCGAGTGCAGCAACACTGCTGGAACCAGTGAAGCTTTTCCTGCTGGAGCTGAGCAGCTGCAGGCAGCAGGATATGGGATCTGCATCCCAGGATGGGGCCTGGCAGAGCCACTGGCTACAGGATTGGGATCACTGCAGCACAGCAAGAATACCCACGGGCTCAGCCTGCACCCTAAGCCCTGCCTGCACTACACATGGTGGCTCACTATTTTCTTTTAATTGAGGTTCAAGCAACTGGACAATGAACTCAAGCCCGGAGAGTAGAATACAGCAGCTGTGCCAGAGCATGACCCTCCAGTGGCTTCCCTCAGGGCCACCCCTCCTGCAAAATTCCCAAATTCCCACTAGCTAATAACACACACCACCCATGCATGTTCATTAGCATCCAACACAGGTTAATTAGTATTTAAAACTGCTCATCCATCGCAGAGGAACTGGGGTCACCTGACCAATGTGGTCTAGTGGAAGGTGTCCCTGCCCATGGCAGGGGATTGGAATCAGACCGTCCCTTCCAACTGAAACCATTCTGGGATTCCCTCCTGCAAACTGAGCTCCCTTCACCCCAGCCCAGGCACAAGAAAGCACAGCACCCCCAGCCTCAGCCAGGGCAGTGACAGCCCAGAGATGTCCTTGGCCACAGGGATTCACCTCTGCTCATTCAGAGCATGTGCCCAGAGCAGAAGCAGCAGCATTAACCTCTTCTGAGGGCTCTGGCTAATTCAGGCTTTACAAGACACACGGATTTTCCACCTCCCCTCTGCCAGGCTGGAAAGAGGAGCACCACCAGGCAGGAGGAGCACCAAGAATTCTATTCTCACAACTTTGCTGTCTCAGCAACTGGATTTTATCCAGCAAGTGAGCAGGCTCAGGTGGGCACAGTCTCCAGTGGGGCATGAAGGGAGCCCTGAGCACAGCCCAGCCATTCCAGGGAGACAGCCCCACAGCAGCCGGGGTGAACGGGCCCTTGGATGGTTTGTCAGGAGGGGTACAGGGGTGTAAAGCCACACTGCCATCACCCTGCCTGTCAGCACCCACTGGCAAAGCCAAAAGCCCCTCTTGGGGCTTCTCGTGGGAGGAGCAGCCTGCGCTGGGCAGGCAGGGGAAAAGGAGCTTTTCCAACAGCCACGCTGGTAAAAGCGAACAGTGCAGATGCCGGATGGTTTTATAACAGCCCTGGCAGCCCAGCTGCCTCCCACTGATTTACTATTGTATTAAACCCCTCTCCATCTCATGGACTGCTCCAGAACAGCTCCCTGCCCCCTCAACTTGCAGGCTAATACACATTCACCAGCCCTGCCAGGAGTCATTTAAGCCGTGTATTTCAGGGGTGACAGGAACACTCATCCATAATCACCACCTCCGCCTGGCCGGGGCTGCCCCAGCTCCAGGCGAGCCACGTGTGTGTCCCAGCATCGTCCCCTCAGCAGGACAAGGATGGCTTGGGAGCTCTGTGCCCTCATCGGGAGCAGGATTTATGTTTGTATCCCGGCACAGCAGATCTGAGTCAGCTTGTGGCCTTGGAAAACACGTCGAGACAAGTCCCCGCCTCGAGGCGCACCCAGAAAACGACGCTATCGCCCTGCACAGGGGATGGGGGACTGTCCTGCAGCTCGGGGTGCACCAGGGGGGTTTGCAGGCCTGGCCATCACAGAGCAAATCATCCCTGCTGCCGGACCTGGTCTCCTCCCAGCCCTGCTCCCTGCTCAGTGCCTGCGGGGCGGCCGGGCCCAGCCAGCCCTTCCCTCTTCCTTTGGTTTATTTTTACAGCAGCGCCGTGCTGAGCTGCAGAAGGGTAATTGAAAGAGTAAAGCCGGGCGGCAGCCACCTCTGCTCCCTCCTCTTCCGCCGCGCTGTGCCAGGGCTGGCTCCGGGTCCCGGCGGAGCCGCAGATCCGCCCAGGAACATCCACTTAAAGGCGCTGCGGCCATGGCCAGTGCCAGCGGGACACTGCCGGCACCAAGGTCCCAAAATCCCTCAGCACCACCCAGCTGCCATGCAAGGAGGAGGGCTGGGAGCAGCTTTATATTTTTCAGAGCCCTAAAAGCTGCTTCTGAAAGTAATGGAGGAAAAAAAACAACCCAGGGCCTTGGTGGGTTTGGAGGCAGTGGCACCACCAGAGGAGGGCGTGCAATGAGACAGCTCAAAAAACCCACCTTTGCACGGGAGGTGCTTGGCTTATCCTGTCCCGGGACACGGGGAGCTGAGCTCATGGCCAGAGCACAGGAGGGGGACGTTGGGCACAGGGAAAGCGAGCACACAGCCCTGCCCTTAATTCCCAGCACAAAAGCAGGACAACACCACAGGCACAAATAACCCAGTTTTCCTCCAAGAGATCCCCTGGGCCCGTGGGGGAGGTTTGCTGGAGGAGCCAGACCCCAGGCAAGCTGTGATATACCCCTGGTCAGCGGTGTCAGAGGCAGCCCCCCAGCACAGTGCCAGCCTTACCTGCAGGATGTAGTTCTTCCAGAGCAGCAGCCCAAACTGCCTGAGAACAACCATCCTCCCATCAGAAGGGGCCCAGTGCCACCACTGCCGCTCCGCAGGACCCTGGAACAGAGGAGAGAGCTGTGAGTGCCAGGAACTGGTGGAGCTGGGTGGCAGGAGGGCACCATCCTGCATCCAGCATCCCATCCAGCCCCATGGCAGCTCCCTGCTTCCAGCCTGGTGTCACAGCAGCTGGCTTGGCCCCAAACAAGGCAAAATAACCATTCTGTTCTCTCTCCAAGAGTCCCTACTGAGCCAGAGCCTGTGGTTTCTGGCATGGCTGTTCCCAGGGAGGGAAGCATCAGGGTCCTTCCCAGCAGCAGGCAGGAACAGCTTTCCTTGAGCTGCGGGAGCACAGTGTTATGAAATCACAAACACCAGCCCAAGGAAGGCCATCAAACCCCTGGCAGCCCATTATTTTGGGATGGGTTAAAATTTCAAGTTGTGCCTCCACCTCCCACCACAAGAAGGGTTGGTTCTGCAATGTTCTCGGTGCTTTCCCATTAGAAACTCTCCTCGGAGAGGCGAGGATAAGAAAAGGGCAGGGAAGTGCAAGGGAAGGTCTGTGCTTGAGGACAATCCACTGTCTCCTCCCCCTCTCAGGAAGCATCTGCCATGGCTCCAAGTTGTTTTTGTCTCCATTTGCAGTGGCATTTCCTGACGGGGCACTGCTGTCCCACCACGAGATGGGCTGGGATTTCAGGCTTGGAGTGCGGCACCGAGGAGGAAGGGGCAGCCCTGGCACTCTCAGAGCCTCCTGCCCACGGTGCTGGACATGGGGCACCCCTGCCGAGCAGCCCCAGCCCCGAGCATGGCAAATTCCGACAGGGCCAACCCGGATCACAGCAGTGCCCACCGAGCAGGCACCTGCTGGGGTCAGCTCCAAAGCCTGGCAGCACTGAAAGCACCACAGGGACAAGGACAGACACATAACTCATCAGCAACACCCTGGCAGATGCTCCACAGCACGTTTTCCAGCCCTGTCTGGGATAGTATCGGCTCCTTGGATGCAGTCAGCACTCACCAACCTCCACCACCACCCAGCCCTGACCTCAGCTCCCGGAGCTGAACGGTGAACACAGGGAGAGCAGCAAGAGCAGGCTGAGAACCACGGAGGGCTGCGGGCACAGCAACACCCACCTACCTCACCTGCCCTCTGCCACCAGCTCCTCGAGCCCTCCAGGAGCCTTCTCCTGCCTTGGCACACACCTTCCCAGCCCCAGCCCAAAACCCATGTGTGTTCTCAGAGCACACAAAAAAACCACCTTCTCTTTGCCACTCCATGCGCAGAAGACAGATTCCCACAACAGCAGGGACATCTGCGTTCAAGGATCTTCCTCCAGGCAGGAAAAAGCAGAACAGATCTGCTGCTGCAGCCCAGAAAAGTCCATCAGAGCCCCCGCAAGTGGGAAAGGAATAGCAAAAGGGACTTAGCAAAGCTCATCCTAAAGTACCATGTCTCCAGCTGACCTCTGGTCCACATATGCCCAAACAGAACTGCCCACACTCTGCCACAGGACCCCTCAGCAGGTTCCCCAGCCCTACACATGCCCATACCCCACACAGCAGCACCTGAAATACCTCGAAATGAGTCCCCCAGGAGCAGAAACCTTCCTCATACACCCCCATGAAGGGAATTCAGAGTATACCAAGGGAATCAAAATATTGGCTCACTTTAAAGAGGATGAATGTGGCAGTTCAGGCTGGAGCTGGCTGCTGCCCTCACAGAGGTCCCAAATCCTGCTCACTCCACCACACCTTCCAACACAATCTGCCCCCCCGGCCGCCCCCGCGGGTCTTACGCTGCCGTCAGGGCCGGTGCCTTGCTGGGAAAATGTCAAGCAGCTCTTGGGCAACACAAACACTACGCAAAGACAGAAACCCCGTTACTGCCAATAAATGTTTTCCAAGTTTTTAAGTGTTCCAAGAAAACTCATTCTGGACTTTCATTCGCTGGAGGATAAGAGGAGGAAGAAGCTCAGTTACAACAGGGTTACTCTTACCAGATTTGAGAGTAACAATGGTCAGGCTCTGGGCATCCACAGAAACGATTTTGTTTTTCAACCCAAAAGAGAAAACCTGTTTTGGAAGGTGCAGCCTGGGTCAGCCCCGAGATGCCCATGACCAAAGGCAGCTCAGGCAGGGCCCACGGTCCATGCCTGGGACCACCTGCAGCGGGAAAGGATGGCTGTGCACTGATGGCTGACAATGACCTCGGAGGTGCCTGGCAGGAGGACACACGGCAGCAGGCCGGGCTGTCCCCTCCAGTGATGCTCCCGCCTCACCTCAGCACTATGAGATGAGATTGAATTTCCCAGCAAGAGGCACAGACAAAGATTTGGGGGAAGAGAGAGACGATCACCATCAGCTTCAGGGAGAACAACCCAGTTCCTCTGCCCCTCACTGGAAACACCCTGCTCTCCACACCTGACTGCAGCGGGAGGAAGGGTCTGCTAACTACGTGATCCTGGACTCGCCCTGGCCATCCCCAGGGAGGTCAGTGAGGAAGGAGAGCCGTTCTGCCTGCCCACAGCCTGCACGGGTGGGTACCAGTGTGGTGCTCACCACGGGGGCCCCCCAGCCCCTGCTGCAGTGCCGAGCTGTGCCGGGTAACGTGGCAGCACCAGCTGCCAGCTGGGACCGGAGCTCTCCTGCCGGTGGATTTAGACGAGGACAGGCTGAGGATTGGCAGGGATCAAGGCCCCAGCATCCTACCCCCTGACCCACTTCCAGCCAGGATCTGGCCATGCCTGGCCGCCTTCTCAGCGGAAAGGGCCGAGTGGGCCGAGCAAAGGCCACGTGCTCCTGGGAGCTGGCAGTTATTTTAGAGCACACACCGCATCCCTGCTCTTCTGATGTCCCGTTCCCATAGAAACAAGCCCTGGAAATGGCAGACGTTGCCTTTTTTTATATAAAACCAGCGTTTCTCCTGCCGGTTTGCAGAGGCTCCATGTCACCCCCGGGGGACGAGCTGCAGACCCTGAGGGTGCCTCCACCTCTGTGACCCTGTGAGGACCACCCAGTGCCCCGGGGTGGTGGCATCACACCCCTGGTGAGGCCTGTCAGTCCTGGGGGGGGTTTCCACGCTGCCGCCAGAGAAGGAAATGCCTCTCTGCTCCCCACAGTGTTTGTGCTGGAAATTAAAAGCACAAGCAGCCACTTTTTATGGCCAGTGTTTTCAGGAAGAGAGAGTGATTTCCGACTCAGGCGCATCCAGAAAGCCCCTGGTCCTGCAATGAACAACCAGGGCCAGCAGCCACCAGATCAGCCACTCTCTTGCTGGGGTGTTTTCTCCTTCTCACCATTCACAGAGATGTGGGAGTCACGACAAACAGCCAGACTGTAAAAACCTCACCTTGGTTGTGCAAACAGCAATAAAACTTTCCAGGAGGCTGCAAGCCCAGCAGTGCTGGGTGCTGCAGGGACTGAGTGCCCAGTGACCTCGCAGCCCTCTGCAACCCCAAATCCCAATGCCCTACAGATCCGGTTTTTCCCCAGACAGGAACTTCAGGCCTCGAAATAAAGAAGTAAACACAAACAGTGCTGGGGGTGGGTCCTGTTTGCAGAATGAGGGGTTGGTTTGTGGGCTGCTGCCCTGCAGTGGGGCACGGGGGGGTCGGTGGGCACGGGGAGCCCGACGGGCTCCAGGGCTGTGTCTGTAACAGCCTTTGTGCTGGGGCAGCAGCAGGAGAGGGAGGACAAAGCTGCTGCAAAAGCTGGTCAAACCCTTTCCCCTACGAACACTGGCACTGGTTTGCCCAGTGAGTTTGCAATTGCCTGTAAAAAAGCAAACTCTCCAAATTCAGTGGCATCATGGATTCAACAAAAGAACAAGGTGTGGAGCCCAACAACTGGGTTTCTCATGTCCCTATCTGGGGAGGGGGGATCCCTCCTACTTGTTTTTTAAACCCCTTCAGGGATGGTGACTCCACCACTGCCCTGGGCAGCCTGTGCCAGTGCCTGACCACCCTGTAGGGGAAGAAATTTCCCCAATATCCAATATAAGCATCTCCTGGTGCAGCTTGAGACCGTTTCCTCTTGTCCTGTCCCTTGCTCCCTGGAAGCACAGCCCGACCCCCCCCGGCTCCCCCCTCCTGTCAGGGGGTTGCAGAGCCAGAAGGTCCCCCCTGAGCCTCCTTTTCT